TGAACAATATTTTGACTCTAATATTTTGTTTATATTTTTTTTAACTGCAGCTTCTGAGTAATATTGCACGAGCTTCAAGCAGATGTAATCGTTTTCTTTACTCTATAGGTTTTTTTTATTCATTATCTATTCATATTATTATTATCTATGTTTTGTAACAGTTTATGTTTCAGAGAATGGCAACATACTATGATGTTGTTCTTTTTAGAGAGTTAGTGTAACTTTTGTTTTCCTCATTTGAGAGTATGAATAAAGGAATTATTTAATTATTGTAGAGTCATAAATAACTAAAGAGATATAGATAGTTATTTCCGAGTAATAAATAGTTCTTGAGGTAACAAATTTGGTGAGAATTTTTGAACATTTGGCGTCCGCTGACTGGACTGTTATCTGTAAGTAGAATTCTTTCGTTTATTTATAATGGATGTTTTGAAGTGCAAACGATCTCAATTTAGGAGATTGTTTACAAAAGCTTTAAATGATTTTGAGAAGAATGAAAATGATTTATCTTTAGACGGAAAAATTTCGAAACTTAAATTAGTTGAGGACAAAGCGAAACCTATGATTGAAATAGAACAGACTTATAGAGAAGAATTGATTAAAATTGAAAAAGATGAAACTATAAATGAGTTTGATGAGTCAGAATGCTATATTGATAAGTGGAGAATGGTAGAAAGCAAATTAGTTTCGCTTCTAGCTGAAAAGGAAAACGGTTCTGTTGTTAATGAAAGCTTAACTCAAAATGCTACTATTCGTTATCCTAAGCTTAAACTTCCGATTTTTGATGGGAATATTAAAAGCTGGTTAGGATTTTGGGGCCAGTTTAAAAAGATCGATAATGATCCCAATTTAGATGATCATGATAAATTTGCATATTTATTGCAGTCTATGGAAAAAGGGTCATCTGCTGAAGAGTTAATCAAAAGCTTTCCGCCCGGTGGCGAAAGTTATAGTAAAGCTTTAGAACAACTGCAATCGCGTTTTGGGAAAGAAGACCTTCTTATAGAAGTCTATGTTAGAGATCTACTTTCGTTAGTATTATTAAAAAACTCTCAGCAGAAATTTTCATTACGAAAACTCTATGATAACTTAGAATCGAAACTAAGAGCGTTAGAAGTTCTGGGTGTTGCTAGAGATAAATATGCGGCGATGTTATATCCTCTAGTCGAATCGTCATTGCCGGATGATACATTAAGAGCATGGCAAAGATTCCGAGTTATTAATCGCAGTCAGAGAGAATCTGAAAGTAGTGAGCAAAAAGAGAAAAATGCGTCAACACATCGCATGGATTTAGATGGTTTGCTTTCATTTTTGCTCGATGAAATTGAAGGTGAAGAGAGAGTATCTATAGCTACTCAGTGCTTTACTAAATATCAGACACAGACCCTAAGCCTGGGAATGCTAAACACTTTGGTTTCAAAAACCGTGGAGAATTTTCCAAAACACCTTCTGCTTCTACTCTAATAGCAACATCTGAACAAAATTCAACTGGATGTATTTTTTGTGCTGGAAATCATGCATCTGGTGATTGCTTTAAAGCAAGAAAGATGACGTCTGAGGAAAGGCAAAAAGCAGTTCTAAATAGTCGCAGTTGCTTTTTATGTTTAGACAGAAAACATGTAATAGCTAAATGTAAAAAACGAACATCGTGTGTGATTTGTGGGAAGAAACACCACATACTTTTATGTAGAAATATCCAAGCTGAATCAAAATCTCCAGTTCCTGTTAGCATGAATAAGGATGAAAATACGGATGCAGTACCTGAACGAGATGAAACCCTCGCCAATTTGGCGAGAACAACAAATGTGTTTTTGCAAACTTTAACGGTTACATTGAAAGGGCGAGATAGAAAGCGCCAGGCCCGTGCTATTATCGATTCAGCTTCACAAAGATCTTATATTTTAAAAAGCACTGCAGATGAAATGAAATTTGAGAGTACATCTAAAGAAAGATTGAGCCATTCATTATTTGGCGGGTCATGTACTGATGTCATAAACCACGATGTTTTTACAGTGTTCTTGTCTAAAACGGATGGAACTTATCATTGTAACTTCAAAGCTCTTAGCCAAGATATTATTTGTGGAAGTATACCACCAGTTGCTAATGGCGAGTGGATTCAAGAGCTTAAAGAGAACAATATTTCCGTATGCGACGATAGTAATGGACCAATAGAAATACTTATTGGCGCTGACATTGCAGGCAAGTTGATGACCGGAGGATTTAAATTGCTTACTTCAGGCCTTGCTGCTATAGAAACAAAACTTGGTTGGACTCTTTTTGGGAAAAATGGTATGCGTGAGATCTCGGACAATTCCGCACTGCTCGTCACATCCATGTTGAATAAGGAAATATTGATATCCGATCTATGGTCTCTAGATTCACTTGGAATTCTAGATCCATCAGAGAAGAAAAGTAAACTGGAACTTCAAGAAGAAGCAAGAGATCATTTCTTGTCTACTGTAAAGGTGAACGAAGAGGGACGTTTTCAAGTCAGCTTGCCATGGCTTGATAACCATCTACCGTTAAAAGATAACTATGACTTAGCTGTAAAGAGATTAGCTTCTACAGTAAAACGACTAAAAGCTGAGAAACTTTATGATGCTTATGGAGAAGTTTTTAGTGAATGGGAACAAGAAGGCATCATAGAAGAAGTACCAAAAAGCGAAATTGATGTAACATGCCATTATCTACCACATCGACACGTAGTAAAAGAAAACAGTACTACACGAATCAGGCCAGTGTTTGATGCCTCGGCCAAACAAAAAGGATCCCTAGTCTCAATGATTGTCTAGAAAAAGGTCAGAACCTTATCGAACTGATTCCTTCAATTCTTCATAGATTCCGAATGAACAGAATAGGAGTTTCTGCAGATATACGAAAAGCATTCTTACAAATAAGTCTCAACCCTAAGGATAAAGACTATCTAAGATTCTTATGGTATAGAACTGATGGAAAACTGAAGTATTACAGGCATTGTAGGGTAGTATTTGGAGTTACAAGCAGCCCTTTCTTGCTAGTTTCTGTAATTCACCATCTTCTAGAATCCACTTTGAAACAACTAAATGGAAACCCAAAGTATAAAGTGGATATTATTGAGCAATTGAAGAAGAGCTTTTATGTAGATAATTGTTTAGCGAGTGTGAAAAATGATTTAGAATTGCAACAATTCATACAAGTTGCTTCAGATACTTTAGCTACAAGAAAGCTAGAATTACGTGGTTGGGAATATAGTGACCCAACAGATAATTCCTCTAGTACCACAAATGTATTAGGAATGATTTGGGAACGATGTGGAGATTACCTTTGCCTTAATATTACTAACATCACCTACAATCTACCAGAAATTTTGTCTAAAAGAGAGATTTTAGCTACTACACACAAAATATTCGACCTTTTTAGGAATAGCTTGCCCCGTAACTCTTGTGCCGAAACTTTTACTTCAGCACCTATGGGAAGTTAAGTTATCTTGGGACCAAGAAGTTGATTCAAATTCAAAATCACAATTTTGTAAATGGTTGAATGATTTGCAGTGTCTGGAAAGAATGAGAATACCAAGATGAGAGAACTGTGATCGTGAGATTGAAAATATCTCACTTCATTTCTTCAGTGATGCGAGCAAACTTGCATATTCAGCTGTGGCTTTTGTTCGAGTACAAACAAGAGATTCGGTTCAAGTTCATTTGGTGCAAGCTAAAGCGAGAGTTGCACCTAGCGGAAGGAAAAAGACAACAATAACTCGATTGGAAATTCTTGGAGCTACAATATGTACACGTTCAGCATCCAGCATAACACCTGAATTTCAAGCTGATGATATTTATTTTTGGACAGATTCGTCTACTGGGCTAGCTTGGATACAGAAAAATGAAGTATGGGACGTATTTATTCACAACAAAATTAAGGAAATAAAGCGACTGACTTCTATTGAATCTTAGAGGCACGTACCAGGATTACTGAATCCTGCTGATTTGCTCAGTAGAGGATGCTCTGTTTATTATTTAATTAAATCTAGATGGTGGGAAGGTCCTGAATGGCTATATTTATCACCTGAAAAATGGCCAAAAGAAGATTTTAGTGCTGATGAAGAAGAAATAGCTCTTGAGAAAAAGAAAAGGATTATTTCGTCCTTAATAATCTTAATGCTAGTGAAATAGTTGCTACTAGATTCTCAAGTTATCGTAAGACAATCAGACTGGTAGCGTGGATGTGTCGTTTTGTTAAACATACAAGAAAAACTGTAAACATCAAAACAAGAAAAAGGATGAACTTACTGTATCTGAGTTAAATGAAGCAGAGAATATCTTGATTCGTTTAATACAAAATGAGTCCTTTAATGGAATAGAAGATAAACGGATTTTAAGTCTTAATCCATTCATTGATTGTGGGATCATCAGAACTAAAACAGCGATATTTCAAAGAGAATATACATTAATTAGTTCATTTATTAAAACACATTCCTCAAAAGTATTGTTCAACTTCTTTAGAACTTACAAACTTTATCTCAAAAATACAGTTCAATTATTCGTGCTGAAAAAGTCCAATGGAAAATATTTTAAATAAAATAAACTTGCGTTTACATTCGGATCCGACTTAGACGAAACAAATTAAAACTTAATAAAAAAATCTGTATTTAATGTGATAGTTCGAAGTGACGTTTAGATTCAATCGCTTGGTCTTTTCCGTCGAGAATATGTTTATCGTTTTTCCTCATAACACTAAGTCATCCCCATCATATCGTTTCTTTGATAGATACAATGGCCATGACTTTATTGCACAGAGCTTCAAGCAAGAAATCCTTTCTTCACACTTATAGTTCACTGTAAAACTGTAACTACAAGGGTCCTCGTACTTTTGTTGTGTTTGGGTTGATTCTCCAGTTGATTAGGTACTTTCTATAACTACTATTTCTCCTCGTTCGAATGTTAAAGATTGCTTCTTCTTGTATATTTGCTTCTTTTCACTGCATATCTTCATTCTCTTCTAGATTCATTCTGTAAGATTATGGATTCTCCCATCATCTGCGTCTTCATCGTACATCCTCCTCATCAATCGTCGTTAATTTGTGAAACGTGACATTCGAAAGGAGTTTGATTTGTAGTCTATTATCATATGTTGATTTCTTTCGCATTCCTAATCTTTCGTCCGTCTCTCGATTCGGATTTTCCATACCGTTTTAATCGTAGCCAAAATTGTTCGATTGCTCTTTCACCATTCATTACACTGGATCTGAGTTGAATGAGTGTATGGATGATTCCATATTTGACAGTATCTCGAATCCTTCGTGAACATGTTCCTCTATCGCTGATAATTTTTTGTAACCAAATCATCTACAAAACTCTCATGCAACTAACACATACTTGTTGCATACTTTACTTTTCAAGGGTTATAAGCGTGTAATCCGTATTATCATTATTACAAAATACAGATTTCCTCTTGAACTTTTTACGACTGGTCTAATGCTCTAATGTATAATTCAAAGGTCTTTACTAGGTTAATTGGATGCAGTATCCTGTTCTATCACTAGGCATTTATTTACTAGGCATTCGAAACACATCGAAATTGACCAGAAATGTTTATTCCTTTAACAGTTGATTCCTGTTTGGAACATTCTGTCTGCTGAAAAAGTCCCAAAGATCGGAAATTTTACTACATACCTTTTCTCATAGATTAGTATGATATATAACAGTCCTTTCCGATCTTTCACTTGACAAACAATCGATATCTTAAGACGAATTTCAGTTCATTTTCTTGCTAGTCTATCATTTTCTTTTCTTTAACGTCTTAATTGCGTATTCTGGATCTGACTGCGAATATAAGAATTGTTCATCTATCGTTAGCGTTTAAAAAACGTCAAGTTGTTTTCATATAGAGTTAAAGTTTCTCTGGTGATCAATGGCGATCGGCTCAAGCATTATGTGACCATCTTTTGCCTGCCTGGATTTATTTCAAATGTATTCCGGATCAGATTACTCCACTTGTTATCTGAGGATTGAAATGTTCTTCGCTTTAAATAAACTAAGCTTGGCAGTCTGTAATACGTAAATAGGATTACAATAAAAGTGTCGAAGTCGTGTCAAAGTCCAAATAAGCATTAATTCTAATTTGCTTGAATGATAATTCTGTTGTTATGTGCATTTCTTACACAATACTAATGCCACTTCTATTTTCACCTCTTTGCAACAGCATCGGCCAGCCTTGTTCTCGCTCTGTGGTACTTCAGTCTCTGCTTCGGATTTGTATGTATATTGTTCATTAGTTAAAGGTCCTTAAATATAATGTCTTGCTGATCTTGTTCCACGAAATGTTTCTCCTTCTCGGCGTCTCGTTAGAGGCTCAGCTTTATGCTATTTCGGTACAACCTCTAAAGAACTGAACCTCAAATTGTTAACTCATGTTCATGGTGGTTTGGAACGTTAATATGGCTCGTAATTTTCTTGGTCCAGTTGCATACCATTTATTTATTAGAATCCCAATACTCAAACTTCTCTTTCAAATTCGCATTTGTCAGTTTCAATGTCCGCATGCTTTCTCAATCTACAAACACTTTCCTAAGTTTTTCCCTCATTTCTTCCCAACATTTAGCCGGATAATATGTGTCCAAATAGCACATACTTCTTTTTAAGCAATGGACTAAACTGATTCAGAAGTCTCGAAATTCTAGGTGCATTAGCTAACCAAAGATCATACGTTCAATTGACAGTATCTCGAGTGATGAAAGTGTGTCAGTTTCGCTTCTTCAGTTAAGGAATCGCAATCCATGAGCTATCCAATAGTGAAACTTACCTCACTAAGGATTCAAGGGATCATCATCCTAGGGTGAAAATATCTTTAACAGTTGCGAATTCACGTCTATAATCTATCCTATCGAATCACTGTTTTTTCTTTACGAGTAAAACTGATAGCATACGGGATCTTTTTCAGTAACAATTCAAATATTTCTTCCATTCATTATATTTCTATAAGCACGCTCTCGCTTGGTTTATACAGTTCATGCAAATAGGCTTACTCTCTTCAATTCTTTAATATATTTTGTTAAGTTGTACACCCTAATCCTCATATTAAGCAAAACAATTCGTATCATTTATAAATGTAAACTTCTGTTTCTTTCTGGCGTAGTATGTAGAACTTTAATTCTTCTAAAGTAGCGGTCTCCTAAACTTCTTAATTTGCATTATATCATATTTCTTTTGACTTGATTTCAGTTTCTGATCTGAATTGTTCACTTCTATACTTCCGCTCTCCGATACTTGATTCTTCAAATTAGTTTCGATCGCGTGTAGTGACTGGTATCATGTTTCCCTATATACTCCATAATGAGCCAACGCATCTTCGATCCACTTATTAAACATAACGTTATTTTTTCATCATTTTAACTTTCACGAAATTACCGTATACTTTCGATTTGAGTTTCTTGGGAACCTTAGTTTAATTCGCGGAGTATTGCTATCATTTTGCAACTGTGAAATGGGCAGTCATTACATAGCGTATGTGCAAGGTATTTCCTATCTTGGCGTATGCAATATGCGGTAAATCAATCCATGTTCGACCAACTAATAAGTCGCATGGTTTCGTTTCATCTCTACAATTAGAACTGTAATGTCCTTTCCTTCCACATTATCAATCTAAGTTAACAGTTTTCTGTTCTAGCGGTGGTTTATTCTGGTTCCCAAAGCCAAACAATTCCTCTACATCAGTTTTACAATAAGATTAGTCTCTTAGCCGCAGACTGTTTCAATAACACGAACTAGAACCCGTATCTATGATTGCAGTTAATTTCTCCCCATTATTGATGCGA